TGCGTTCGAAGAACCGAATTAGCCAGATCCTGATTAGCGCGATGATATCATCTTGGATGTGACATTTCATCTCGGATGTAATAAGCGACGTACGAAGAATGGGCCCCTGGTGACAAAAAGTAATGCAAAAGTAACATTATGCATTACTTTAAATAAAAAGTAACGCAATTTGTTACTTTTTTTATGGAGTAATATTGTAATGCATTACTTTTAAAAGTAACTTTCCCCAACACTGTCTAGAGGGTCCCCGGACCCCAGTGTGAAAACCCCTGGTTTAGACCACCAGTTGCCACCCTGATATCCATCCTCACCTGCGTTATTGATCAGAATATCCAGTCTTTTCTCTTTTTGTAAGAAGGTTTTGCTAAACTCTCGTATAGACCTCATGTTGGCCAGGTCAACCTCCATATACAGCACATTCATATTGTGGCTCCTGGCTTTGATCTCTCGAACAGCCTTCCTGGCTTTCTCCTCATCCCTGCAGGCGATGATCACACGAGCTCCTCGCAAAGCCAGCAACACAGCCGTCTCCTTCCCAATACCACTGTTCCCACCTGAAACATACAGCCGCCATATAATAGCAATGACCTTCCTATAAAGGATACTCCAGAACAACACAGAGTAACACATGATTCTCATCATTCAACAAATGTAATTTGGCTTTAGATGATAGTTTGGCTTTTAATATGTAAAGGAATATGTAAAAAGACAAATGAAAAGGCATACAATCAATTTGAATGATTTGTATGACCTGTAGTAGCATTCAGCAGCTGTCAATCATGATACTCTTAAGAGATGCTACTCTTAATAATCAGAGATATGAAGCCTAAAGTACTCACTTACCAGTTATAACAACCGTTTTTCCATCTAACCTCTTCACGTCCATGCAATACCTTCTCCGTTTCAGCCATTTCATTATCAAAAAGCACAACAGTGCGGATAATATAGTGTATAACAGATACATGCTCTGTTAGCTAAACCAGCATAAAACAAACTGACCTCTTTAAAGCTATTGCTAATGCAACATTCAATTAAATTATTGCCACTTTTTAGCTCACAACTTTAGCCCATTCAGAGGGGGAACATGGCAATTAATTATTCATTTGGATTCAAGGATTTTACATTTAAAAAACGTACTGTAGCATCGGAGACTGTGTTTACAGCCTGATACTGTAGCCATTAGCCACGTACGTTAGATTATCATACAGTCGTGCCGGTAGGGGCGCTGGCGTGCGCTAATCGTGTATGTGACACTGTCTCTCGCTGTAGAATGAGAAGCATTGACTTTAGACATGGAGCTGTGTGCACAAGTCTGAAGCTCGCAAATATGACTATTATAAAGTTTTCTTCGGGACAAGCAGATGCAGTTCTGAAATCTGTCGTTTCAGAAGATCAAATATCATCTGATGTCAAAGACACGCTAAGAATTTTCTTGCAGAAGCTGACAGAAAATGCCAGGTAGGGAGCTGCTGTGTAGTGAGATAATACATTTAATAAAATGTTACTGTTAATAAGCGCTGTTGCATGCTGTTTTGTTATTCATTTGATAAAGTGCATTTGATTTGAATTAGGATGAGTGGCCCTTTAAACCTGATTTGAATTTCTTTATACTACCTAGTGTTATTCCATTCAAGCTATATATACATTTGTATACCTTATTTAAATGGTTTTTTTTTCTTCTTGTCATTACTTGTTTTGTGTACAATGCTTTGCCAATATTGTATGTAAACACATGCCAATAGCGTACTTGAAAGTTGAATATATTGCAAGCTGTATAATTGCAAGAAATGCTAGCTATGAAATTAGCTTTAGCAAGACAAAAATGTTTAAAATGTCAATAAACACAATGCATTACTTGAGATAGTGGAAATGTTTGTGACAGAATTCTCCTGTGTTGCATGCACATCAAGTGTTACTTGTACAAATTTAGAAAGAGTGTGAAACTGTATTTTCAATTCACGAGTCAAGACGTATTTTAAGAGCTTATTTCTAGTCCATAGGGCCGAAAGTGCCCATAGTTAAAGAAACACTCCTATATTCTTGTAAAGCACTGCATAGTGAAAGAGAGATGGTGTTTTATTGGCAGGAGTGCAGGCAAACGGAGCAGGGAGCGCTCACTGGAGGAGGCTTCACAGATCCTACAGAAGATCCCAAAAGAAGCACTTCGTTCCTTACAGTCTGCTGCTCTTCACCAATTTGTTCAGCTTGTTTTGGCTTTACAGTTAGAGGCAGTCACCACTTCATCCGTCTGCCGCAAATTAGACCAAGTAATTTCCACCTTTACTTTAACATGACATTAACAATTTTTGCTCCTGTTTGTTGGTTTCACCTTCTTAACTCTGTTTTATAGATGCTGCAGGTCTTGGCTGAAATAAACTTCTCCACTGCTTTTGAGGAAGTTAGACAATATCTGCTGAATCTTTTGCATCAAAAACAGGTAAAAAAGTTCAATAATATAAGTTTTTAATATATTATATAACATTTGTATTCTATATGTAAGGGATAATGCTCAGTGCCTTGCGAAAATATTGATACCCCTTCACGTTTTGTTATGTTGCTGCCTTATGTTAAACTGCTTTAAATTACTTTTTTTCACATCAGTCTATACTCCATACACCATAATGACAAAGCAAAAAACTGATTTATGACAACTAGAGTGACTATCAGCTTCTTGGTCACCACTCTAACCAAGGTCCTTCTCCATCGATTACTCAGTTTGGCTGGAAGGCCAGCTCTAGGAAAGTCCTGGTTGTTCCAGACTTCTTCCATTAAGGATAATGGAGGCTACATGCTTCTGTGAGCCTACAGTGCAGCAGATTTTTTTTCTGAACTCTTCCCCAGATCTGTGTCTTGACCTCAGGG